AAAAGAAATAGAAATTAAAAAAAAAAAAACAAAAAAAAAACTCGTCACCTAGCTAACCCCCCTAAGCGACTGACCCACAAACGCACCCATGCACCGACTGCCCTCCCTTCCTCCTCTGTTTCAAATCCCCGATGGGGATGGCATCCCCCTACCTTGTCTTCCTTTTTTTCTTTCTGTCTCTCTTATGGTCCTGGAATCCTGGGTCCTTTCTATTACCTTGCATGTCAAACCACCAGGACCTTGCCTACCTATTGAAGCCGAGCCTGAAAATGCCCTGTGCGTGGACAAACAAAAAAGAAAAAACGAACCAGCGCAGGCCTCATTTTGGCTGGCGCCGCCAGCCATTTTCGTCCAGTACCCTGACCCCTGGAAGTTGCGGCTGTATACGGCCGGGTATTTGTTTTTCACGTGGGAAAAGGGCTGCTGGTTCAACCTGGCTTCTTTTCTGGTAGCACATCCTGCAAGAGGTCACAGTTTGGTAGTCCGCGTAGTCCTCTGGTTCTCATTTTGAATGTATGGGGTCCATTTCCTGCTCCACATTCTCCTCTGTCCATTTATGGCCAAAGGAACCGCAGAGCATCATTGGTTGCTCGGAACTGGTCCTTGTGCAGGCATATCGACTGTCAAGTGCTTCATTATTCGGTTCTTAGACGACTCATATTAGGCCATACTCACACCAGGACTTGTCGAAATGTATCTGACTGCAATTACGACCGGGGCTGGATGAATCTGACTGCAATTGTTTTCCTTCTTTTCCCTCTACCCCAGGTCCCCTGGCTAGGGGGGGGGATGATATGAGCATTCCCCCCTAGGAGGTCACCCCGGCGCTCCAATCTATTGGTGGGAAGCTTCGCCTGCCAGAAACCAGGTCCAGCGTCCCATAAGACATGCAAGCTCTGCTTTTTATGTATCCACTGCGAGGTAAAACATGTCCCTGCCAGCATTCATTGCCCTCATCAGCGGGGGGATTGCCTGAGCAGTATCACTTCATGAAGCTGTGGAGGGGGACCGTGTGCACACTTGTTGTCATCTTTTCTGTACTCCACTCCATAAGAAGCATGACTGTGCCAGACCGTTTTGTCGGACTTTCTCAACACGTGAGGAGGTTGCATGTGCGCGCGCGCGCGCGCGTGTGTGTGTGTGTGTGTGTGTGTGTGTGTAAATTGTCACCACCAACGACTTCTTTTCCACCCAGATGAGCAGATCCTAACTTGAAACGGCTTTGCCTCTATAGCAAGCAACATGAAGCAGACTAAGACGAGTGCATCAAAAATTGATACAGCGGTACCTCTCTGGCAAACAACATCAAGCTCACAAACACCGTCATTTTGCATTTTCCTTGCACATTCCTCTCTCTCTCTCTCTCTCTCTCTCTCTCTCTCTCTCTCTCTCTCTCTCTCTCT